AGCCTGGGCTGCCACCGCTCCATCCCCCGCGACCCGGCGGACCTGTGCCACAGCCGCAAGTTCAGCGCCGCGTGCAACTTCAGCAACATCCTCGTCAACCAGGAGAGGCTCAACATCAACACGGCCACGGAGGAGGAGCTGATGACCCTCCCCGGGGTCACCCGCCTGGTGGCCCAGAACATCGTGGAGTACCGCGAGTACATCGGTGGCTTCAAGAAAGTGGAGGACCTGGCGCTGGTGAGCGGGGTGGGGGCGGCCAAGCTGGAGCAGGTGAAGTTCGAGATCTGCGTGAGCAGCAAGGGCAGCTCGGCCCAGCACTCGCCCAGCTCCCTGCGCAAGGACCCGGCCTCCGAGCACCACCTTTCTGCCACCAAGATCAACATTAACACCGCCACCCCCGCCCAGCTCATGAGCATCCGTGGCATCACCGAGAAGATCGCCAACAGCATTGTGGACTACCGTAAGGAGCACGGGCCCTTCAAAAGTATCGAGGACCTGGTGAGGATGGACTGCATCAATTCCTCCTTTCTGGACAAAATCAGGCACCAGATTTTTGCGGAGCGGTCCCGGCCCCCTTCCACGAACACCAACGGCGGCCTCAACTTCACCGCCAAGCCTCACCCCAGCCCCACTTCTCTGAGCCTCCAGAGCGAGGACTTGGACTTCCCTCCTGGGGGCCCGACCCAGATCATATCCACTCGCCCCTCTGTGGAGATGTTCGGGGGGGTGAGAGACGGCAGACCTGTCCTGAGGGTGGCTACCTGGAACCTGCAGAGCTGCTCCACTGAGAAGGCCAACAACCCGGGGGTGCGGGAGGTCGTCTGCATGACGCTGCTGGAGAACAGGTAAGAGGCAGCACGTGACCCGTAGGCCCAGCTCCGTCCGGGATTGCAGGTTAATGCCTTTGGGGCTTGGGCACGCTGTGGTGATCCTAGTGGGATCCTGCTTTCCAGGATAATTAAACATTTCCCACTTCTTGTATGGAACTCCGAGTCTTAGCGCTGGGATTGCAGTGACTGTCCCTTGACGAAGCTGCTATGGGCCTGGCGAGGTGGCGCAGCTCCTGAGGAGGTGTGTGCGCACACATCTGTGCGGGGAGGACTCACCGGCTACGGTCAGTCACGCTGGGGCTCTTAATAGTTGGTCAAGGCTTGTTTCTCTGTCAAGAACCTTTTGAACAAGTCACAGAGGACTGTCTGTCCTGCCAGAAGTTGAGGGGGGAACAGCAGGGAAAGGGCTGCTCTGTATTTATTCTTTACGGTGCTTCCCAGACCAACTTACTGCCACTTTGGGTGGCAGGATGCAGTGCTACATCTGCCCCTCTCAGAGCTGCCAAGCTGAGACCTGACAGTGCCTCTTCTCCAGAAAGTCTTGTTTGGGTGGTGACCTCCATAATGTCAGTGTTTGGGCTGTAGTCCCCTCTCCCTCGGATCTCCTCCTCAAAGGCTTGAGAGCACAGTCAGGATGGTTTGGGCTGTGTAACAAGCGTGGAATGACAATGGCTTGTCCCTCAAGGGTGACACAGCTTGTTAACAAGCGGTCATGGGGCATCTGCTGAGCTGGAGGGACCACTCATCCGTGGGGGTGCGAGACGTGGGGCAGCTGCCTGGGGAGGTTGTGCTGTCCCTGCCCCAGGCAAGCTCCTGATTTTACTGAGCAAGTGGGCACGGAGCAAGGATTGTCAGTGGTGTGATCGAGTGGGATAGTGCTTCTGATGTTAATGGCTGAGGAGCTGAGAGATGTTTGGTTTTGTTTGTTTGGGGTTTTTTTGAGTAAGGTAATCTGGCAACAGTCTTGGGGCTCTCTCTCTTGCTAAACTTTCTGCTTGATTCAGAAACGTAGGAATGCAATAAGGATTTTGGAAGTAACTCTCACCCTTTCCTCTCCACGTGTGATCTGTCCCAGCTTGTCTGGTGTTTAGTTTATGGCACTGGGAAACTAACTTTTCTCTCAGGCTTCTATTCAGACTTCCAGCTGGAAATGAATAGGGGCAGGGGACTGTTGGGCTTCTGCGAAAGGGATATGGCGAGGAGGGGAAGTGCCGATGAGCCGTTACCTCCGGCAGTGCCGAGAGCTCTGCCCTTTTCTGCTAATATGCTGAATAATGGCTCTCATCAGTGTGGTTGCGGAGGTCAGGCATGCGGGAAGGACGGTGACAGCAATGTGTCATCCTGCGCTGCGGCACAGTATTTGTGGTTGGGGATACCTCTGCTGTGCACTGCTTGGGCGCCTGATGCTCCCGCAGAGGAAGCATCTGTCATCTCACAGCCATCGCTGTTTGATAACCAAAATGGAGATGATAGCCCAAGGACGGTGTTCGGATGTTACACCAATGGCTTCAGTCTAACATCTTTCAGTATTCCTCGACTGCTCCACTAGTTTTGGGTATCCTGTGCTTCCCTCTTTCACACCGCCCTCGGTCCTTCGTGAGCAGTTGCTTGGCTGGAGCAGAACCTAAGATGAAGTCTGGTGGTGTTGGGTATCAGGGTAGGGGACAGAGGTGCTGAGGAAAGACCTGCTGAGGAAGAAAATATCTCTCATTATTCTAATAATCCTATTTTGGAAGAAAACTGACTTTGACTTATTTTTATTTATTTACATATACATATTATGGTTGGGTTTTTTTAAGGATCTCATTGAGTAAAGTGTTAACTGTCTGTCACTTTTGCATCTTCAGTGGTTTTGGGGGAAATAACCACTCAAAACAGCCCACCTATGAAAAAAGCTAGTCAGAGAAAGTGACATGAAATAAGCCTGCGTTAGCCCGTGCTGGCCATTGTGTATCCGGAGTGTGGTCCTGGCAGTTTGTTTTACTTTTGCTCTTAAACTGCACGGTACTTGGTTTCCATCCAGCTTAGCAAACGGGTGCTCAGTTGTCTGGTGTGAAAGGTCTCCCGATTACTTTGAAGTCTGAAAGGAGCCTGTTGTAAGCACTTGTTTTTGCTCTGTTTTATTGCACGTATATGTGCCATCAATCACATGGGGAGAGCACGATGCAATTGTTTTCTGTACTTGATCCTATTTGTGATAACATGAGAAGCTGGAAAGAAATGAGAGTAATGTGCATCCACAGACAAGGCTGCAAAACCTTCCTGGGGAAAAAAAAAAACAAACGTGGGAACAGAAAAAATCAACACAAAGCAGGGAAAAAAGTGTACGTTGGGAAAAGCCATACTCAGCAGCTCGGGGAGGAATTTCCTTTTGCTTGTGCTAGCATTGCTGAGGTTAGCGGAGCTTCGCAGCTGTAAAATGGCCTCAGCTGAGGCCAGAAACTGCCTTCTTTCTGTGTATGAACTCCATGGTCTCCCTCCTGGCTCCAGTCGTGTACCCTGGGAACTGATAAAATGCCTTGAAAGCTAATCTTTGCCCAGGTAAATCAACTTCAGTTGATAATCAGCTGGAGAAATTAATCTCTTGCTTCTTCAGGCCAGAATACATGGCTGCACAGGACTCATCAGCCCTTCAGCCTCCTAAAACCCGTGGGGTTTGTTTTCAAGGCTCTCCGCATGCTCAGCGGGTGTCCCACACGTGTGGCTGAAGCTTCCAGCAGCGACCCACACTGTTTTCCCGAGGATCTGAGGGCTATTTAGCCTGACAGCAGGCAGATGCGGTCAGGAGCTACGTTGAATGGCACCTGCGTGCTGATGCACTTTGTGCACAGCCGCCCTCACGTACGTAAGTGTGTGCCTGCATGCTGGTCCCTCGCAGTCCAAGGGGTTCTCAGCTAGTCTGGGGTGGGTTTAGGAGCTGGGCTACTGCCTGTTGCAGTACTTGTGTTGCCTGCCTCACTGGTTGTATTAAAACTGTGGAGACCAGTAAAGAGTCTTTATTTGAGATCTTGGAGACTTTCATGCCAGTTGAAAGTCTGGTTTGGGGGTTGGTTTGGTGTGTTTCTGTCCCTATGTCATCTGTCCTGTCCCTCCGCCATGACCAGTTCACAGTAGCTAGCTCTGAGACTCCTTGAGCTTGCTCTTCCAGGCATTAACAGTGGGGAAAATTACCTGCTCGTTTCCATGTCAGGCTGGAAGATGAAGGTCCTCCTGTCTTCCAGCCCTGCACAGCCCTTGCACTGAGGGAGCTACTGTGCCGGAAGGGAAGAGGGCAGTGCCTTCATTCAAAACAAACACAAAGCAAGAATATGTCATCATGTAGAGTAATCTGCTGAAAGGGGGAGGGGGAAAAAAACCCAACCAAAACCAAAAACCCAACCCAAAACCTTCGCACTTGTGCCCACAAGTGCTAAATTTCTGAAGAGCAGCAAAGGGAATGTATACCAAATCAGTAAGCATGACTACTACTGCTAAGCTATTTTGAAATTCATCGCTGCAGTACAAAAATAATGAAATACAGCAAGGTCCTCACCCTCTTTCTCATATTACAGGGATCTATGTTTATCACAGTGTTTGGAGTGCAGGAACGAGGTGTTTTCATTCAGAGGACTAGAGGGTAATTTTAGAAGAGATTAACATGATGAATGTGGAGGTGAGCGTGACACGTAATTGGATTAAAGTATCAAATGTGGTGTGAATTTGCCCAAACCTGCGACGTTTCTTGCACATGTGGTTTGGCAAATCTGGGATTTGTTGACAGGGCGTCAGAGCTGGCCTGTCTCTGGGGATGCAGGTCATCCCCTCCTGCTGACCTCCACATCTTCCCCATTCTCAGGGGCATCAAGAAACTACCACCACCTTCTTAGGGTAGCCTGACCAAAAGGGCAAACAAGTTCAGGTCAGAGGCAACAAGTGTTTTCATGGGGAGGATAAGTAGCCCCAGCAGAGAGGTTTCCTCTGCCAAGGTCAGTGGAGGTAACCCTGAGCTGTCCCATACCCTAGGTCTGTAGGGAAGGACCCTCTTTCCACTCCTCATCGGTACCTGCCTCAGGCTTGTCCCTCCTGGCCGTAAACTGAGCTTGTGACTCCCCCGACAGCCCATGACCACTCTCTCTGGTTGTTATGTGCTGGAACGCCTGCTGGGTGACCTCATCAAGAAATGTGATGCAGGCGTGTGCGATGCCCACCGATACGCAGAGCGTGCTAAAGGTGTATCCTCTAGTTTAATTGCTTTCTTGAATGTCTGCTGGTCGCCAAGGGCAGGGGTCAGTTGTGCACCTTTCCCAGCACGATTTGCAGGGAAGGTTTTCCAACTGGTTTTTGTTACGCTTTATCAAACTGAGCGGTAATTTTGTGAAGACCTCCTAATTCATGTTATTTTTCTTGTAAGCACACTTTGCAGTTGAGTGAGTGAAAATTGATGGAGGGCTTGAAAGCCAGAATTTGCACTCAAAAGAAAACTTTTTTAAGAAATGGAGGAGGGAAGGGGAGTGTGTGGCGGGACGATGGTGGGGCACCAAGGTTGAGGCTTAGGTCGGTGGAGTCTAGCTCTGTTTCCTTCCAGATACCAAGCAGTTCAGGCTGCTCTTTC